ACTTCAGCATGCAATCAAAGTTACCCTACTACACGGTTATGCACGATATTGGTTGCTTACCAAACATCTGTCATTGGTAAAAGGTCTGTCTGCCTCGAGGAGCAACCCTGAGAGGTGTTCCAGCTCAAGGGGAGATCACCACCACTCAGTCACGCTGCCTAGCAGAGAGAGCTCGTAGAAGGCTCACTTTGGCTGGTGGTTGGCTTGTAGTCAAATTACATGCCACAGAAAAGGTCTGCAGGAGACTCCTTGTACCTACAATTTTCTTTGTTCCTTGATAAATGAGTCTTGGAAAAGCCACGCACTATTCACGTGTTAATCGCATGATCGGTGTTCCAAGCTCATGTGCATCAGTGCTGACTGTGTCGCTCTGCTCCTTTGTGGGTTTTCAGAGAACAGACTGAAACACGAGGAGCTCACGGCCCGGCTACGGCTCAGGCCTTTACCTCTTTCGAGCCTGCATCAAACCACCGCCAGTCTGGTCAAGGGGTCGAGCGCACCCGTCATGCTCCACCCCGTGCCTACAGTCAATCCACTTTATCGACTCATACAGTGGCAGTACAGTTACCTCTTGCCTCTATGTTACAAATATGTGGCGTGTTGTAGATCAGTGGTAAGAGTCCAATTATCTTAAAGTGTTCTAATTAATGTTAGTTATATACCAGGTTACATACAGAATCAGTTGATTGTATGTTTTACATGCTGGACTGATGTAATTTGTTTAATTTTTTGCCAAATTCTGATATACAGAATGATTATAAACAGTAAACACATAAGGTCAAAATCAACAAAACTACAATTGGGTGTAGCATCAAAAATCCCAGTTGCTGTTGGGGACCATCCAAAAAGAGTTTCCCACCAGTGATGTTTTCCATCAATTGACTCAGGTCATCGTGCTGCAACAGTTTTCTCACCAATGTGAGATTCATTCCAATGGGGGTAGGCAATGAATCTTGATACGATGCATAGTCAGATTGTAACAACTGGCGAGTTGTGACAGGAGCTGAATAGTTGAAGTCTCATCCTATGATTTTGGTAAAATTACAAATACAGATACTTGAGTGATTGTATATATCTACAGTGGTATCATCTATAAATATAGAATCACAAAGGGTTCTCATACAAACACATCCATTTCCAATGTATACGAGTGCAGTTTCAGGGGGTTAATCAGGATGTATTTCAAAATGACAAACATTTTGTTCAGTGTCAAGACAAACGTCTTCGGCCTTAATGGTATTACTTCCACAAATAAATCCCTGTTGTTCCCATACAACACACGCGCCAACACCAATAGTTTGCCATTTGTTCCCATTTTGCTGGGCCCATGCTCTGTGTTCTGATGGACACAGGACAGTTCCATCATGATTTAATCCCACTGCAATGACTGGGTACATGGTGTATACCAAAGCATTGTATATTGTCAAAACAAAACCTGTGGCTTTACTGTCGGTGGGGTCATAGGTAAAATTGACTAGACGCCACCAAGATTGGAATTCCCTTTCAAATTGAGTTGCATTATCCCAAATTCCCTCTTGAATTTCAGTGGGCAAAGTGCCCTCATCGCCTTCCCTTATAATTGCTGTTAGAGTAGATTGCACTCACAACTGAGAAGGGAGCAATTGTTCATTGCTTGCCAAAACACAGAAACTGTGGATATCTTCTGAAAAGATAATACAGAAATTGGGGCATTTTCTGAAAAGATGAGGCAGTGTGATTTCAATGAAGCAAACAGAGCTGTTTTTCAGTTGAGTAAGGCTGTGTGAGTTATACTCTTTAGCTCTCGACTTACATCTTTAATTTAAGAGTTTATAGCATACTTCCCCCCAAATCCCTGTTTTTTCCCCTCCATACAGAGCCCCCATCCCCTGTTGCCTGGCCGAAGGGGCAATGCTGCTTTTCCTGCTCCTCAGCGCCACCGACCCCAGCGTAAAGTGGAGCCTGGTCTGACCCCAGTTACCCGACAGCCGGCAGCACCAGTCCCACGAGAAACACCCGCGCTGCCCCCACCGCCACCCCCCCACGCCTGACCGCGACCCTCCCCACCCGGCCCCGGCCGGTCTCTCCCCGCCGCCGGCCCCCGTGCGGCGCCCTTAAGGCCCGGTG